AAACTTCGCCTAGTATGTTCTCGTGCCGTTACGATGGATTGTAGAAGGTCTCACAAGCGTACGGAAGCGCTCGATTATTTCTTTGGCCAACAATACGAGCTGATGGGCCATATCAACTTCGCCTAGTAGGTTCTCGTGCCGTTACGATGGATTTCTGCCCTGCTTGGCCATGACTGTAGAAGATCTCACAAGCGTACGGAAGCGCTCGAACATGTCTTTGGCCAAGAATACGAGCTAATAGGCCATATCAACTTCGCATAGTATGTTCTCGTGCCGTTACGATGGATTGTAGAAGGTCTCACAAGCGTACGGAAGCGCTCGAACATGTCTTTGGCCAAAAATACGAGCTGATGGGCCATATCAACTTCGCCTAGTATATTCTCGTGCCGTTGTAGTTAACACATCAAAATACGATACTAAAACCTACTGAGTCTCCCTGAGGCTCAGTGCGGTGTATTTATTCTTATATTTGATTGTCTACGTGGTCTACAAATAATTCACCTCATGTGAATTAATTGTAAACTAATTCTAACTCCACACTGATAGTGGTTTAAGGGGACTTTTACTACACTAAAACATCAACAGATGTTCCCCATACCCCGGCTAATCACGCTGTTAAAGTACTACTTCCAAATTTCGGTTCAAACCAAATCATCGCGCTTGTTGGTTCCGCCAATGGTACTTCCGATCCAGGCCAGCCAACATATACCAAATTCATCCGTGGTCTGGTGCGGCATTGGCTTACCCACATCCTCGCTCCTCGACCGGATTATGACGGATAACCTGGTCCTTCCCGGTATTTCATACTCTGCACTATCCCATTCCGCGGCACTACACGACGCAGACCCGATCCGTACCACAGAGGTGGGTACTCCAGCAAGCGAATATATGGAACATTCGATAGTAACAGTGTTTTGTCATCACAGGCCCAAATTGACTCAGCGCATAGCTTCCATTGTCGACTCACTTGGCCCAAGCTTCAAACGGGAATTTACTGACCACTTCTTCCCATCAATTTTTCCTGAACCACTACAGCGACTATGAGAGCCATACCATTTGTTCATACTTTGTAACATACATACTTGTCATTTTTGAAATAAATAATATTACCCCTATAACGTAAAATTCATTTCGTTGATGTTTTTTGTCTCCAAAAGTTTGGACAGAGAAATTTTAATTTTTAATTTTTATCAATAATACACGCGATGTGATTGGCCAACAGCCTATCACGCTTGTGCTCTTACGATGGATTGTGCCCCGTTCAGACTCGCCCAGACGATCAACCGTCCTCTCGAGCGTGCGCAAAAGGCTGCACAACTGCTGCACAATGAGACGCGGCAGTGGCGTTGGCGTACTCCACAGACCCCTAACGAGGAGTCGCATTCGTCCCCATCTTCCCTGGAACGAGCCTCCAGCATTTTCGTGGATGGATCTAGTGGCTCGCGTGAGAGCACTGACAAGGAGGATTCGTCTGGTTTATCGCAACCCTATCCGTTGGGTGGCAGCGGATCACTGGATCACGAGCGAATTAGCTAAAGACGGGAATACACCGTCGGCACCACCGGCAGGCTTGGTAACGGGTCCACCAACGCAGTCTGCTTCACAAAAGCCCTCTCCACTTACGAAGCAGATCTTGCCCAACTGGTCGCCAGTTTTGACGCTCCAGCTGTTCTGGACCCCATTCAAGAGGTGCCCCTCGGTACTGGCGCAAATGTCGCCAACTTGCAAGCAGTGCTTCCCAGTTCTGCCGAGGACCAGGCGTCCGACACAGCCGACGTGTCCCCAGACCATGGAACCTCCTTCGCCCACCACCAGCGGATGTTCCATATCCCATTTCCGACCATCCGGAGACTGACGCGCCGATTCACAATAGGAAGAATAGTAAACGTGCCTTGCCTCCTCGCACATTCACGGAGCCCGAAGCGTTACGCCAGTTGTCGTCGCTACAGCTTCAATGCATGGACAAGGAAGTCCCGGCGGACGCCAATTTCGAATCCATCTGGTTGTGGCACGACAGGTATTGCCACCTCTTTTCGGACCGCCTCCGGGCTTTGGCCCAGGATAAATGCGGATCCGGCGGCAGTGATTAAGCCAATCATTGAAACGTGCCCTGAGTGTATTCGCACGGGGAAACCTACGGGTCCAACCAGGGGTCTGCTTCAGCAACTGGCTCGTCCCCAGGCAATTGCTGATGAGGTCAGCCTCGACTTTCCGACTATCAGCGAGGATTCGGGTGGTCCAGCCCTGTCCTTATAGACCATAGGGGCTGTCCTGTAACTTTATTATTAGGACTGTCAATGTCAGTCCTAGGTGATGACTCATCACTTTGCGGTTAGGGTATTCCGATTTTTTTAGGGGTTTCCCGAGTCCCGGACCAAGGCCAGGCCTCGAGAATACACATGGACTAGCAGGAATAGATAGGACCAACTTGGTCGTTAAAAGGACAGGACCCATTCTGAGCGTCCTTTGGTACACTAGAGTAGTCAAGGTAGCAGACATCTACCTTAGTTCCTTATAGTAAACTTTGTCTACTACAGAACCCGTTTTATATAAGAAAAACAAGACTCGGCGTAAGCCTCCAACTCTTTGAAGCCGAAGACTGGGGGGGTTGTAATACAGCGGCATTAGTGTACCTGGATGTGACGTCATGAGGACTAATTGTCCAGATGTTTAATTTAGAAGGCTATGTCCAGACCCTAGATTAAGGACTAGGACCTGGATTTCTGTGGGACATCTTGGATAGCGGACAGACACTCGGACTGGGGACGAAGACCCTGCCTTGACAGGACACATGGGCCCTGCTGAACCAGTCTCTAGAGTGGAAGGAAACTATCATGTCTACATTAATAGTAGAAGCCTTAATCCTAAGTTTGAACCTTTTGTACACTGGATAGTCACGGTAGAAAACATCTACCTTACTTAGTTCACCAAGAGTATACTCGAGTGTACAGTATATTACAGTTTAGTTATTTCTTACTTGTATTTGATGTCGCCTGATTTGGCCTTATTTGACGCATGTGCGATACTTCTTCTGAGGCGTGTACCTCCTGGGGGGGGGTGTTGTAGTAGCGGACTTTCACGGTCACTGGAGGTCTGGACAGTCCAGCCCTGGGAACAGGACGATGGACAAACTCACTACCTCAGGCCCAGGACAATTAACTACATATCACTCTACTAGAGAGAGAGACAGACGTATGGACCCAGAAGCCGGGATTCCTGGTTGAGACTACAGAGTCAGCCCTCCTGCTGATCCTTTTGTACACTGGTTCTACCGCGGCTAAACCAACTAGCTTAGTTCTTTTAATAGCAAACATAGTGTACAATAGGGTGGGTGTACTACAATCTCGTTTTATTTTAGAATATTCAATTTGGCTTTTGTATTTCTCAACACTTTTTGTTGGACGATTGCTGTACTGCATGTACGTACTACAGAGCATATTATTTTCTAAAGGCTGCCGTCGAAGTTTTAGGAAACTTCCTTTTCAGAAGACTTCTGAAGTCTTCCGTGCTTCTGCTACTGCATGGGTTTACAATATGGTCATAAATACTGTCGGTTCATAGCCTTCTACTGATAAAAAAGGCAATGGTCTGTTGTTGACTGACGGCCAGGATTACCATCAGAATCCTAGATTTTACTATAAGAATCCAATTATCCGCCAAATAAAAACTCTCTTGAATCTTTTGGTTGTCTTTGGACGATTTCCGCCGCCACTAATTCTCTGTCACGCATCTGACTTATTGAATTGAGAAAAACACCCTTCTTGTTTTCACGATAATAATACAATTCAGCCGGTATAGTCGTCACTTTCAAGCCGTTTTCCCGTAGACGTTGCCACATCTGTGCGGGATGTGCAAGGAAAAAGTTATTAGTCGAATATAATAAGATAGATGGTGGTCAACTCAATGCACAAAACCGTGGAAAGACTAGTTTGCAAACTATCATAAGGCTTACCGCAAGATCAAGATATGCCGTTCCAAAATCGGCAGCAGGAAATCCACCCACATGGGCTATCGCACTCCTCCTGAAAAGTGCATTAGCACCCCCAACTGTATTCGACAGAGTTGGGGAACTGTAGTCCAGGCCCACTGAACACCAATAGTGCAGTTCCATTCGCTCTTTAGTATCGGGATTCACCTTGAACTTTCTTATCCAACCAGCAACTGCATCAGAATTTGTTGCTTGGAGCGACAGCATCATTTTAGTCAATGTATTTGGTTTCAAGAGATCATCGTCGTCGAGAAAAAACAAGTAATCGTTTGTAGCTTCCCTCCAGAGTATATTTCTGGATGCAGCCGCGCCGGACCTAGGTCGTTTTATCACCCGGATTTTTTTCGTAGCCTCCCTACTAAGATTATCAAGCATAGCAATATCTACTTTGCGATACGACCCGTCGTCCACGATCAGGACATCGTAATTTGGGTAGTCCAATTTTCTCACGGATTCAAGAGTTTCTGCTAATAGGTCCGATCTACTATATGTGGCGATGCAGATTGTTATATGAGGCTGGTCTGCTGCTCCTGGAAAATATCTTGGCCCGGAAAGAGACTTCAGTACTGAAGTATATGAATGCCATTTGGTTTCCCTCGCAGCTCGAAGTAGTACAGGTGCGGGTATATACTCAGTAAGAGATCGACGAGAGGTCAACACTTCTTTAGCTGCGTCTACGAGTCCTCTTATACTCTCAGGGTATATACTGAGCGAATTCTTAGCACTCACAATGCCCGCGTATGAAGATGCAATCAAAGCAGGAAGTCCCTCATCCACAATTCGATTCACTGACAAAGGATCTTCACACCCGAAGCTTGACACCAAAACAATACCCGCGTTTGCTCGGCAAAATTCCACAACAGACACCATCGATGTTGTAATGTGACTTTGCATCTCGGCCGACAATCCACACTCAACACCAAGTATGTTCTGGAATTGACTGCCAAAATAATGAATCGTCCAATCTGCTGTATCTAGTGATTGTGCTTCAGTTTCCAACAATCTCAAAGCTATACAAAGGCGGCGGACGTGATCTTTTCTGGTTACCAGCGATTCAACAAATACAAATGAGAAGGTACTGGGAATCTCTGGCGAGGTGAAAGAAGGCTGTTTTTTCGTTCCGGACAACGAAGGCGATCCTATTGGTGGCAAAATTGCAATGGATTCGCGTGTACTGTCACTGATATTGCATAGTTTTCTCACAAAGTGGAGCTCGTGTAGCGTGCTGAAAACAACTACATCGGCCCTTTTGATTAATTCCACTTCCATATTGCTTACAACGAGGTCAGTTTCGGAACTCACAAATTTCCCTTCACGTGAAAGCCGCTCCTTCAGAAGTGTGCCCATGTGCACTACAAATTGCGCCCCACGATATGCTGTATCCGCTTGTGACCTTTTCATCACAGCAAAATGCATAGGATTGTTCACAACATCAACGTGGATGACCTTGTACCTGTATATATTCTTATCAAACCAATCGAGAATCTGCACCGCACTGATTACAATTGGTAAAATTGGTGTTGTTGTGAATCCCGCGGGTCTCTCGGGAAGTAAAAAAAGTACATTATGCTTCTTCCAGTCAATTTCTTTGGCTAGGCCTACTTCTTTCCCAGTAAAGAGGAGTGAAACACTTCGTTCATAGGGCTCAAGTGCCCTTGCCAAGGTGAAAAGCCTGTCGTACATTAAGGACCCGCCAATCAACTCACCCTCGGAATTCAGTATCGGTATCTCTGCACTTACAAACAATTGATCCTCCATATCCAACTTATCAGCTGTCCAGTAGACAGGTATCAATTCATGTATCTGAGTTGTTTGATGTGGTTGGTTTTCAAAACTGAATCTGACCTCCCGAATTTGAGTCCAGCCAGAAACAAGTTCTATAGCAATCTTGCATAGGTTACCGGCCAACGGGGTTTTGGTGTGACGTATTTTTGGTGTTACCCATGCACTATTTGAGGAAAAGGTCGTGATACGTAAAGTAGGAACGGGGACCGGTTCACTCCTGTTTTCGTCCGGCACTATCAGCTCGAACCCAGATATAGTTTCTCTTTTAACAAAACGAAGGCCAAAATAATCATTATCCTTTCTTTTTCTGAACAACCAAAATAATGTGAGGTCGTTGTCTACAGCACCGAAGAAATTGATACTTTGACGGAAGCTAAGTTCATCGCTCAAATATCCAGACGCGAATGACGCACCGAAATCTCTCTCATCAAATTTTTGGCCTTCCGACCACTCTGCCATGGGATCGACACTAGCAAGAAACACACAACGATCATCATGGCATGGTGCCTTGACTAGCCTTTTGCTAATTGACCTTGAGTGGTGTGTGGCAGGGAATACGACCGAATTATCCTTGATGTGCGTGTATAGTGTTGTCACCGCTGAAATTTTATGACCTTCAATTCGCTGCCGATTAATTGTACAATTGCCACACGAGAAAGCTCCTTCGACACTCAAACCAGTCTGATTCAATGAATACCCCCTATTTAAGGTTATCGGCACTTCATTGCAAAATAGTGTGAAATATACACACGAGAGTCGCTGCTGTTCTTCAGAAAATCCTAGTTCTTGTTGTTGTTTGAGAAATCGTTGTGCCAGATCACGGCCAAAGACAGCTCCCACACCCACCCAGGCAAAGCCGGCATGCATACCAACATCCTCTCGGAAGAAGGTCCATTTATAATTCAGATTATATGTCCCTGTGTCCGATACCACATGAGGTACACCAGGTTCGAGCTTATAGGATGTCCACAGTGCAGCTACTGAATTAGGGATGAAATCATCGTCCTGCATGAAAAATTGAGCGTACAAAGTAAATAAAAATAGTACTGAAAACTACAATGTAACGAAATACGATCGTCAGGAATGGGCTCCCTGAAAGCCAAAAGAACATTCAGCTTTAGTGCTTCACAATTAATTATACCTGAGTATAACAGGCATTAGATCTCCCCATAGCGCATGCCTCAAAACGGCCATTATCATGTATATTCCTTTTCGAATTGATTACTCTGATGCTCACTCCTGGGTATTCGCGACCCATACTCGTCTTAAAAGGATTGTCAACATTATTATTCCAAATTATGACTTCACGGATTATATGATACTTCTTCAGGATCATGTGTACGATCTTCTCTACGTTTTCCGGTCTTGCAAAAGTGGTTATGGACAGGGTGAGGGTTTCGTCTTCCAATTCGTTCTCTAAGTATGCGTCTTCGTCCTCAAAGAAATAGTTTTTGATGCCTGTAGTGAGGAGTGACAATTAGATTTCAAAAATAGAACAAATTTGCTAATTCCCACTTTTCAACAAATTGGAAAGAATATTTTCCATAAAACATTACAAATGAAGGAAAATTACCTGTGACGGATATTACCGGAGCAACACCGTATCTATCGATACGATAGACCTGTTCAGGCTTCCTGTACGCTATATCATTAAAATGTAATGGATTACGACCGAACAACTTCGAGAGATCAACCAAACAGCCATTTCGTTTTTTATACCAGTCGCCCTGCTCGCTTAAACCTTTGGTGCTAACGTCCATAAAGCTAACAACTTCTGCGGATACTTGCACTGGTGGCAATCCCGAGTGGGTGGCCACAATGAAATTCATCAAAATATCTGCAAATTAATAAATTAGAAATGAGAATTCATAGCACGCAAAGCTTCTCCAAGTGGAGGCAGCACTTTTATATCTTTGGAGTAGATAGCTTCTGTTTATACTTGTACGGTGGCAAATCAAAATGCTTATCCATATGAATTTCTTTAATATATACTGCAAGTATTGTCTGTATAAACGAGGAATCATAAAGCATACAAAGAAAAAAAATTGGGGTATTGGACGCTGCACTTACCGTCACAGTTGAATACGGAGTCCACATAGTCCCTCATCGGCTGCATATCATCTCCATGGTAGATTTTCAGATACCGTCGATTGAAGAAGGAAGCACCTATGAGCACTATAGAATATATTCCGTCTGAACCTACGAGTCTGTATTTAGTCTTTTCCCCAGATCCCTCAAATGTTCGCGGCAGAAAACCAACAATTTGATTTCGATGACTTTGCCAAACTTGAAAGGCATATGCGATGTCTTTCGGTTCAACTTTTAAGTCATCGTCCAGAAGAAAAACAGCCTCCGTATTAATCAACTTACTATCTGCGAATCGATTATTCATACTATTCTTAGGACCACTAAGTATGTGAATTGGGACCGAGGAAATTATCTCTTCAGAGTCTAAGGGTTGCTCAGGTGAATTCCAGTACACAATGACGCGCTCAACATTCTCTAACCCGGATACGCGGTCTATAAAATTTTGCACATCCGCTGCATGCGAATATACTTGTGTGAGCACTGTAAACTTTTCATTCTTATCATTTGGGTGTACGACTGATACTTGCTGTTTATACGTTGGTGTAACAAATGCAGTAGCTATAACATGCCAGTAGACAGTGTATACGACCACCGTGGTGCAGATCAAAACTAAATTTTTGAGTCGAGGAAAGAGTAGAAACTTCTTCAACGATTGCTTTCTCATTCTCAAAAAAATCTACACAACCCTATTTCGAAAGTCACCTTATACAGACAATATGTCTGGGACCAGCAGCTGCACTTTTATTATGCATATTTTATTCTGTTAAAATCGCCCCGATCTGTTCTGTGAATGCTGAAGAAAAAAATACAGACACACGAAAATAGTTTGGCATTCTTGTTATTTTTCAGTAAAATTGTATAATTTGGAGGGCAATAAAAAATAGTAAAAAAAAATATATATTGTTGTGCCCCCGTCCAAGAAACGAATTTTCCGATTTTGAAAGAATTTTATTTTAATAGTGGAAACCAAAACAAAAATCCAAAAAAAAAAAATTCGGCTAATCGGTAAAAAAAATATTTAGGTTCCTGACTAGCTAAATCTGGAAATATATTTGTTCCCAATATTTTTTTTTTTGGCATATTTCAAAATTAAGTATTTTGAAAATGATCTGCGAAGGCGCCAAGGGTACAAGTATAGCACCGTCTATGCGTAGAAGTTTAACACTACATCGGAATCCTTCAAAACGCGATTATTGGTTCTAAATAAGCATGATTAGCAAAGTTTCAATGTTGTCACGTACGAATATTGTCCAAACAATATCGTATATGCATTCTTATAACCGTAATGCAAACTACAGCTGCTAAAATCGAGAAAAGTGTATACATGTCATTTGATGGGGTGTTAAAAAACCATAAAAATAAAATAAAAATTTACATATTTTTATTTCCAAATCATTTTTTTCAAATGCATACCCAAAAAACCCTAATAAAAGACAACACTGGTGAGGTTCTAGCGAGGCTAACCAATAATCATCTATCATAGTTCCGAGTTCCGACCAATAACCATCTATCTTAGTTCCGACTATAATCATCTATCTCAGTTCCGACCAAAACCATCTATCTTAATTCCAACCAATAACCATCTATCTTAGTTCCGCCATACCATATAGTATTTCTAAAATACCTTGAGTTTACTACAAGAAAGAACTAGAACGAACCCTAGAAACCCTAGCCGAGCATATCTAACCATCAATAAATAAAAAACCCCCTGTGAACACCTTAGTACCTGTGAAAACATAGTACCTTTGAACACCTAGTATTATAGGCTTTTCACAACCTAGTTCTACCCCGGTAATATAGTCTCTCCCCACCTATTATGGAGAGAGCTGGAAGCCCACCCTGATCTTATTCGCCATATGGGATAAAGCAAAATTCATAAGGTTGAGCACTTTTTATTCAAGCTTTCGATTAGGCAGTTGTTCTTGATTCATGTTACCCTGGTCATCGAATTTATCAATGTCACCCACAAATGATAGAGTATGGAATAACTGGTAACAACTATAATTCCTTCCGCGGATGAGTTGTTTACTTAAACGTACTTTGCAGCGAACACAGGCTTTACTTGTTTCCCGAATGCACCAAGCAATCAAGCATACTTCATAGTCGCGGCGTGATCGTACTCCAGTATTCTGTGATCCACATGCGGTATCATTCGGTTCTATATATCGTTGGCCAACGGCTAAGAAACCTTTTATCTTGGCTCTTCTTGTTCGTACCTATACGGTTACTAGCACGTGACCGGTCTAGTCTATATATCGTTGGCCACGGAAAGAAACCTTCTATCTTGGCTCTTCTAGTTCGTACCTATACGGATTGAAATATTCACAGCACGTGACCGGTCTAGTCTATATATCGTAGGCCAACAGCTAAGAAACCTTTTATCTTGGCTCTTCTAGTT